GCAGGGAAGTTTTCTGCTGAAAATCCTCTGACAGCTTAATGTCCACAGCATACGGACCAGAAATGAAATGGGAACGTTACTCCCTCCTCCCTGCACACACGAGCACATTAAATAAACCTACGTCCTTTACCATGAATTAGCTCTCTAATAAAGCCAAAAGGCCCATGAATAATTCAGCAATGTGCTCTCCCTCTTCTAGCGCGGCTAACAGCCCTTGACTTCAAGTCATGAAGCTTGTCAGTGGCCCGGTACTTATTTTCCCTCATTTCTTCCCCTCTCGATGCAAACGGAGGGGAATCAATTTAAGGTATTGATCTGCGGAGTTGAGCGAGGTGTTAATTGCAGCTTCGGTAACAGCCGGGGGCATACATCCACCCTTCCCCACTGCACTTACGTTATTAGTTTCCACGCGCCTGCGAGAAGGTCTCAGCTTTGCTCTTGCTCTCGTTATTAGTGTATCACAGCCAGCAGCTTTTCACAGGTCAAGAGGCTGCCGGTTCAAGACCTTCCCAAGCCCTCGGGATCACAGAGTCGTTTTACAGGCTGCTTGCCTTAAAGCCTGAGCACATCTCCAGGACCGCGCCGGCCGCGCCGGCTCTCCGCGGCACCCCTCGGGGCTGCTGTGCACACAGCTCCGCACAGCTTTTGCGATCAAAGCACTCGCGAGCGTCTACACAAACACGCTCAAAATAAGATGAGGAAAAGGACTCTGTTATCGCGACCCTCTCATCTGGTACTGGAGGGACTCACAGGAGTCCTTCAACGCTAACAGAACAAGTCACATCTGCCCAGGCCGTTGCCACGTTTGGAAAAAGGAGGAGGGCAGCACAACAGCAGGTTCATACCCGGAGCTTTATCTGGAATCCTTCCCTGTTGTAACGTGTTACTTATTAACTGTGGCTGCAGAAAAGCCCAAGCGTGCTGTAGGCTACAGCATACACACAAAGCCGCTGGATCTGTTCCAACCAGATTACAACTCGAAATTACATAAATCCAAAAACAAATATTAAAAAAAAAAAAACAGACAAAGGACGAGGTTAAAACAAGCAAACCTTGCATCTTCATGTGAAATAAAACCCATCTTCGTGGCTAGATTGTTGAGAAATAGCACCTACGTAGGGCATTTCTTAAAATACAAGTGCAATGTTTCACATCTGCCTTCTAAAAATAGTTTCTTCTTCTAGAAGGAAAGAAGACTTCCAGGTTCTAGAAGGACTTTGTTATACCTTCCAAATATTAGAGCTTTTTAAAATAGCTGATTTCCTTTGCTAGCTGAAAATTCATCTCTTAGTGTTAATGCTCCTGGTGCCAACATAAATAATGGTGCAGCAAGAAATCAAAAGCACAGAACAGAGATGGGGAAAACACTAAAAAGCCGCATTGCTTCTTTCACTTTGCTGCACACGGACCAGTTCTCCAGCCGCCGCACCTTACCTGTATGTTTTATGAAGCTCCATAACCTTCTCCTCAAGTTCTTTAGTCTGGTTTGGGGCCAATTTAAATTCAGTGATATAATCCGCGCTGTGTAGATCTGGATCATAGTCTCCCAACTCGGACTGGACTGTGTAAGAACCCAGCAGAGCCAAAGTCGCAAAGGAACAAGGCAGCCGCCCCTTAAGGATGTCTTGTCTAAGCTGAAGACACAAGTAATACCTTCAGGAAAAAGAGAAAAACAACGTTTACCAGAAAATGGCTGATCTTATGAGACTTGTTCCTGAGGGTCAAACAAAACCTGTTTTTTACTTCACTGATGCAAACAACACGATGCTGGTTTTTAACTTGTACTTATATTTTCACTTATGGGGCAATATTCACATAGGACAGGACGACTTAAGGTCACGTCCACTCTGGAAAGGGATCAGAGGACAATTACGATCAGAGAAGCCCTTTTTAAAAATAAAAAGTGCACCTTCCTACACAAATACGCACAGGCCAAGATTATAAGTGACACCGCTTTGTGCACGTAGGCTTCAGTGAAAAGAGGGAGCATCCCCCCCTCGCTCCCCCTGCCAAGAAACCTGCTCCAAACAGTTCCTGCATTTAGACAAATAGCTTCCCTGGAGCTCCTCAAAAGTAACCAACACACAGGGCGCGTTACGGAGTTTTAATTCAGCATGGAAAAAGGAGAAAAACCCATTAGCGCAGCTGGAACAAGCACCTCTTCACAAACCGTAAGAGTCTAGTCAAACACAGTAGGAACGCTAGAACGGACCTCAGAACAAAGATTTTGAAGGCATTTGATCTCCTTGCTGAAGGATGGAAAACCCACCCGCGTATTAAAAATCTCCTTTCAATCAAATATTCTATTCAGCCACCGGGTCGGGGGGTTTCCTGAAAGCGTGGGCCGCTTTGCACGGCAAGCGTACTGCCTGTTAGCAAGATTAATAGGTAACTCACCTCGTTATATCCTCCGTCAGCTGCGCGGGATCTGGTGGATAAAACTTGACATTGAAGGTAAAATCCCAGGGGCCTCCTGTAATCACAGAGAAAAGTTTGGGAAAAATAAACGCGCACACAACAGCTTCCTGCTAGTCAGGCTTTACAAAATGCTGCGAATATCTTCAAAAGACAGCTGTCAGATCATAATACTGACTTTAATTCTGCGCCCAGACTCAGCTAGCTCTGCTTAGGCAGAGGGTGTAAGACGTGATTTCTTTCCTTTTACAGAAACTAAGATATAAGCGCGAGAAGACAAAGCAGGACAGACAAATACACTCGAAAGACGTCACAGCTTGTGGAAAACACAAAATTCGTTTGCTAGGAGGCTACATTACTCAATATTTTATCACTGATTGAAAAAAAAAAAAGAAAAGATTCATGAGGAGAGGTCAGGTGCGTGCTATAGGTTAATGAATTAGCATTTTATCGCTCAAGACCCAATTTTCAAATTTCTCGTAAGAAGCAGATGCGTTAATTCACTCAACAGCCCAATACACTGTGGCTGTGTGGTTGGACTGCAGCTTAAACTCGGCTCAATCAGTCTCTGCAAGAAACACCAAGACAGGAAGAGCTTTGCAAGTCAAGACTTAAACGCTTTAATACAGCTCGTTACAGGCCTTGCAGAGCACTGTTACGGGCATTAATTGACTCATGTAATCGTATCTAGAAGTGCTGCTATTTGTTCAAAAGCCTGGTTTGCCTCTGTCTAGATAAATACCACAGCTGAACTGGTAACTTGTGCACACTGTTAAAAATACATAAAACGCAACCGTCCATCGCGTCAGACAGCGCCTCTGAAAGCAAAGCTTTGGGATGAAACTCCTATTCGAGAGCAGCCTATAAATCACACGCTAGTTTGGCACCAGACACATCAGGAGTGTTCAGCAGCGACGGGAACGTCTCCCTTCCTCCTCCTCTAAGGAGGACAGCAAAGCTCCCAAGAATCGCCGAATTTAAGCGTTCAGGTGAGACCCCCTCTTCTCCCCTTAAAAGAATAATCACTTTTGCCTGCAAAAACCTGCACTAAGATTTTTATAGTTACAACCTCTTCTGCTGCGCTCTTTAACACTGTAGTTCTGAATAAGAGCTAGTTCAGAAAGACAAGATATTCTTGCACTTAGCTTGCTAAAAGATTTATCAACATCTCAGGGAGGAAGGGGAAGGACCACACGTGGATTTACTTCTGACGCAACACCCAGAACTGAGATAAAACACAAGCCGCGTTGCTTTCGTTAAGCACAGTCCAAAACGAGTTTTTCCGAGAAAATATTTTAGGAAACAGCGGTTGCCTGTGCGTTGCAAGGAGCGTGCAGAGCCGGACTGCCTTTGCATGTACATCAACAGCATTCCTCCAGTGAACTCAACTCATTCACTGTTTTAACCGTCTCATCGGACCAAATTCCTGAGCAGCTTGTTCTTTAGACTTATCACCCGAACGTCACCTGCGCTGCCCCGCGAGGCAGGGGCGGCCCGTGCCCTTTGCACACATCCCGCTGTTGATTCAAGCGGCGGCTGATAAGAGCAGGAGCTTTTCCTACTCCGCAGCCCTGCGGCATTTCCCCCCTCCCCGAGCAAAGTGCTAATACGCAACTTAATGATACGCTTTATTCTGCACCCCCCTGCCATATGCGTACCTGAAACGCGATTTTTCTTTCAAAGCAATCAGACCTTAGGCTTCTTCCTCGGGGAAAATAAAGGCCTCTAAAATTTATTTTTTTTGGCGCTGCCCTCGTCTTGAACCGGTTCAGTGTTAATAGAAGTTAAAATACAATTTCCTAAAGCGCCTGCTATTTGTCCTGATGCCGCTCGAGCCACTTATTTATCGTTCTCGTCCCACTTAGACCCCTGGACAGCACAAGAGTCCACAAAACCTTGCTTCAGTAACCTCGGGTTTTCCCAATCTCCGTTTAGATGTAAACGGTTCCCTCTGACACCCATTTCCCCACGCTACACCAGCGAGCAGATCTCTTGTTTCAGCGTTGTCCGATCTGCATAGGGGGAACACGCTGCAAAGTATGTTTTGCTGCAAGGAAATGCCACTGGTTTTCCTAAATCTAGAGCGTCACTCCATATTAAAAAAAAGAAAAGAAAGGATGCAGAGACTGCTTGAACTTGTGCTGATCCCTGCCAGACACCCTCGCTTGAACTCTCCCTGATCCTCGGGGCCTCTGGTTTGCACGCCAAGGCTATATATATTTAGGGAAGTCGGGCGGGGGGAACCACTTGCACACCAGCAGGATAAATTTGATCTACTCACCATGAACCTGCTTTTTTATTTCTTTGGCGGGATCCAGCCACGTCTGGAAGAGAAAAAAAACCATTCACAGTTTTAACAGACGTTACAGAAACACCACAGCAAATGACAATTCACTAAAAATACAGCGGGAAGACTATGTTTGACGCTAACGCAGCCATGGAAACCCAGAGATATTGTGCGTTTTTCAAACTTTTACTCCAGTCTGCGGTCTCAATGTGTGAATTTCCAACCCTTCCCGTAACAAGGTATTGTAGGGATGAAGAACAGGAGTACGTTTTTACCCAGGCTTTCTCCTTTCAGGTGACCCTATTAACTCAGCTGCACAGCAGCGCAGAGGACCAAACATCACCCTAAACCACGCGGATGCTCTTTACAGAAAAAAATTCCAATGAACGACTTCACGCTGGCTCCTAACAACCAAGCAACAGCTTCCAAGGGCAGCGACCTGTACACAGCGTATTCTGCACTCTCAAGATCCCATTTTCACTACTATTTAAAAAAATAATAAAAAAAAGTAATATCTCAGAAAGGACTGCAGCTCACACCAGCTCGGAGGGCGCTGGTCCAACACACTGCGTCTCTCAAAAAAGCTTTAAAAACAGAAGAGGAGGAGGTTTGCTTCTATTTTATGCATCCAATCTCCACGCTTACACGGCGCAGAACCAAGATCACCAGGACTTTCTGTTCATAGCGATGTTTTTTAATGACCTAATCACCGAAATACAAGCGAAAGCACCCAGTAGCTGGGGAATGCTGGATTCTTTTGCAGGAGCATGACACAAACTTGGTCTTTTTTAAGTACAACTCCAGTTTCTAGTAATTATCTCAGCTACGGATTTAGAAAGATATCCTTTTTCTCCCCCTCAGTAATTTGGGGTTGCGTGGGATGGCAAGGCAACATAAACATCAAAAACCACCTGTTTTTGCCAGCACTGTCACTACACCTCTCGACATGCCATGTCGGGGGAGAGCAATACTCACGTTAAACCTTCTCTTTTTATACGCTTGCCCCTCTCACCTATAAAACTGGGGATATGAAATCCGTGAAAAAGCTAGACGTGCTAAACCTGCACCGTTTTTCCTTTTAGGGCCACGGCTTTTGAGCAGAGCATCTCCATGTAAGTGCTGACGCCACGACCGCTCGTTACAGCGGTGAGAAAGGCCGGTTTGGGCGAGCCCGGCTGCCCCGGGTGCAGTCATGCATTCGCGGCTCTCATCCTGCTGCTTTAATCCAGCAGACAATGACGGGTACAGCAATTAAGGATACTTTTATCCACCGCTGTGACACGAGTCGGTAGGAAACAATCCTCCCTTTGAGACTAGCACAAACGCCAAAGCCCTTCGGTGCTAAACAGCTGCTCCGGCCACTGTCACCCTCTGCTATTCCCAGGTGGGAAAATGCCCATCCTCAGGAAGGTTTATTTCCTATAGAGGTGGAAAAATCTGGATACAAGCTTTCCCTGTGCTTGCACACACACGTGCATCTCTCTCGACCCAGCTATGCATCGTCGTGGGCGAAGCGCAGAAGCTCATCTCGATTTCCCATTAAGATCATTTCTCCCAGTGAATCAGTAACTCGGCGTCGGTTCGTTTTTGAAGTTCAAGCAGGAGAGAGATGGCATTTGAGATTTAGAAGTTCAGTGAAACGTAACCGGAACGATTTAAAAAAAAAAAAAGGGGGGGGGGGGGGTTACAGTGACACTAGAGCCGTTTGTCCCAA